ATAGCGTCATCATGACTCGGAAACGTCTGTAATTTTTCCATAACTTTTTTCTTCCTTTACATCTTAAAACCTTGAAAACACAATCATTGATAAAATTTTTAAGATCCGTTAAATTCCCAAGATCTGATCCTTGCTGTCCTCCTATCTCCTCTGCCATGTCTTACATTGGAGATTATTATTTTAAACGTGTCCCAGCACGTGTGTTCGTGAGGGTGCGTGTACCGTTGTGTGTGTAGGTGTGTCTGTGTTTAATGAAGAGAGAACCTGGGCTGTTTTTAGTTTATCTACCCACATCGCAATATGATAATATATTGATATTGTGAGGAAAAATTATAATTTTATCACTAATGATAAGCTATTTAATAATATTGATAAAGATTTTATACTAAGCGTGTTCTTTACTGACGCGGTTTAAATATAAGAAAATCATGTATGTGCACTGCGGTTGAAGAAACGAATATAGAAGCGATCCTCACAGTAATGAATATTATTCACCACTTGGAGGATATATTTGAAATCAACATAATGACCAGCTCCCAGTTGGCTTGTTAGCTCACTAGAGTTGGTACAGCGCTGCACCGGTATCGCAGAGGTCATGGGTTAAAATCGCAGTAGTGTTCATAACTGCGAGGATCGCTTCTATATTCGTTTCTTCAGCGGCAGTACACATAAATGATTTTCGTATATTTATAGTCGAGTAGCAACATGATTTCTCGTGCTATTTGGTATAATTATGCAACTATAAATTTTTCAAAGACTTTAAATTGAACTCGGCTGCAATTTTTTTGTCTTTGAAAAAATTTCCTTGTGCTTATCAACACCAAATTACACTCGAATTCATATTACTAACACTAACACGAGTGCAAAAGTTGTAACGAGAGTGCAAATAACAAATAGCGTGCGCGCTGCCAAAATTTTGCCGTCTTGACTTTCTGTAACGCTTTTTCATGTCAATTATGATCAAGTTACAACATGATTTCTCGTGCAATTTGGTGTAAATAAGCACTTGTGCTCGGGTAGTGCAATTGTGTAGTCTTTGAAAAATTTACTCGTGCTTATCAACACCAAGTTACACTCGAATTCATGTTACTGCCTACTAGTAATTGGGTGTCAAATGTTTGTTACTTATGTGCCAGGCCTGCTTCTGCTCACTGGTCAGTTTGCTAGACGCTATCACTTTGTGCTTTTTGAGCAGTTCACAAGCTATAAGTTCGGGAACAAATTACTCCATTATCAAAGAAACTCAACACTAAAAGCTAAATGGAGACTCTTAAGATTATTTTCCGTGCTAAATGTACGGAGATAGTGCGGCCTGCTATTTACAATGAATTTTCATTTTTGAAAGATAAAAATAAGCCTTACGGATGCTGCTCCCTCGTCACAGTGATGATGTCCAGAAATGCAGTGTCGCGCAACTAATCATGGGGTGTTTTGCTTTTCAACAGTCTCTTGGGGCAGGCGTCTTCTCGCTGTTCCCCCGCCCCTACCCCCACCGTCCTCTCTAATTCCAAATCAAACATGGCCGGTCGGATAAACGATCGCCAGCTTCAAACGCTAGTTCACCCTAAGAAGACACCTGCACTGCTGGCCAAACATAAGGGAAAGTTTAAAAAAATTGTTCGATAACCTTTTTTTCTAAGGAATCACCTTAAAAGATGAGTATCGAGTAACAGGAGTTGAGGTGAACCAGCCAGACAAATGAACGGATAAAATCCTTCCCGAATTCCGCCAGTTACGTCCCTTATCCCGCTACCATGGCGAAACTTTGAACATCTGTTCGCTACCGAGCTCTGTACGCCTTTAACTGAATGTGGAGCGTGTCGGATTTGTTTCTACGATGCGTAACGTTTCTCTTTTTGCGAATCCTTTCTTTACGCCTCGTAAAAAGTGTTTACGGGCCGGCACGACTCCTGCCAGGCGTTGAGTTTATTTGAACGAATTTCTCCACAATTGCCCGTATGTCAACAAAAAAAGAGGCGTGGTTGATAAGGATCCTTTAAGATGCTACATCAAATTGATTCCTCAAATATTGAAGGTTTTCTTAACTAAACCTTACAAAAGGCTTTGAAAAAACAAAAATCAAACCAGATTTTAGTGGTTCGTTTTATACCTAAACTACTCTTTTAACTTTACTGATTTCGCTTTACTTAAAACCCCTACGTACGTCAACATTGTTTTGTGCTTATTACATCAGAAATATAGTTTTTCGTTAAAAAAGAAAAACTCTTGAGTATGTAAGCAATGTATCCTCCTTAGAATATTGGAAAAGAAAGCACAAAAAATTTGAACTAGATCTCCCCTAATTTGGGATAACTCTTTAATTTCGATGAAATACTGGATAGAGTATTTTCTCTTCTTGTTTCTATTTAATTTATCCATCTAAAAGTCTTTTAGCTCTGTTTCCTTCTCGAAATTCTCGTTATTTAATCTCTCGGAGCCCCTTTTTCTGTAAAAAATTTAAAAAAAAAAGTTATTTTTAACTCAATTAACATTTTGGATATAAAGCAAATACAATGATACCAAGGTCAGTATGTAAAAATTTAAATGGCTAACACTTGTTTGTGATTGGCAGAGACGCACTTTCGAGATTCTATAATTTACACTGGAGAGCATTGATAGTAACTCCTCGAAAGGAAAAAAAAAAAATATATATATATATATATATATAAGTGAAAGAATCAAAGAGGACGCATCGATTCTCTGTTACTTAGAGTTTCGCGCATAAGCGCTCGTCGGCAGAACTTTTTTAATAAAATACCGGATAAAGTATTTTCCCTACAGAAAAAGTTCTGTCTGACGAGCGCTTAGGCGCAAAACTCAGAGTAACAGAGATTCGATGCGTCCTCTTTGATTCTTTCACTTATATATACTCAGCTCTGCTACCACAGCGTTAAGCACTTTATGACAACGTAGACGCTACCCCCACACTTATATATGTATAGGAAATCGTATGAACGCGAGTGCATTTCGTGATTTATGGGCACGAGTGATGTTTTGAAAATTCTCAAAATTGCACGAGCCGTAGGCGAGTGCAATTTGAGAACTTTCAAAACATCACTCGTGCCCATAAATCACGAAATGCACGAGCAGGTTCATACGATTTTTTATTTATTATATTCTCGACAAAATTACTCCATCGCGCTACTCTGCACGCCTTACGTACTACAAAACACTTCAATGGGTTCCAAAATGCTCACATGTTTTATTTGAACCAATCAAAAATGTAATGTTGTGACAGGTAAATCAAGCGTGAAGTTCTTGAAAGTTTCTCAGAAAATATTACAAGCCGAACTCAAAAGCTAAATTTCAGTTATTAAAAGCGGCAAGAGTACTTAAGCCCGCTAAACTGTTTTCAAATGTTTGTTCTCAATCGGCCTCAGGGAATAACATTCTGACTTGTAGACTTTGGTGAACTGCATTGCCCCTGAATCACGTTAAATGTGACTTGACAGTTGTGAAAGTTGCTCACAGTGAAAGCATGGCCGCTTGTTTTCACCTGTTCACACGTTGAAGTCGTTGCAGGAGAAGACCACATTGGTAGACCAGGAAATCTGCTGGAGGCTGCTGACTATGGAGCATTGCTGATAATGTTTGAAAGCTGTCGCTGTTCCTTCTCGCTACCTTCATCGTAGTCGTTAAGAGACTTTTCACTTGCGTGGCCGGTCACCTGGATTATCGACTGCCTCTCGACGCTTGCTGCTCTGAGTTTCTTCACAACTGTCTTCCTTGCGGTGTGGTTAGTCAATTTCTTCTTTCTTGTTTCCAGAGCTGTGTTCTTGACGACGCTCTTCATCATATTGTCGATGCTGTTTACGCCGAGCCGCTGCTTCTTGTACCAAACATTTGTTTTGGGATTTTCGATTATGGCAAGGTAAAAAGGACCTTTGTCGCGCAGCTCTTGAGGACGCCTACTAAGGTATTGCTTCAGTAACTCAACAGGACATCTCTGACCGCCAGTAGCGAACATTTTTGGCAGAACACTACGATGTTTTGTGTTCAGTCCTCCCTGCCTCGTCTTTGTAGGATTTTCTTTAAATGTGACGTACTCTGTGCCGCTGTCGTCCACACACAAAAACTGAAGTCCTCGACTTCCATTGAATGGTGTTCCTGTCTTCCCCTCAGGCCAAAATGTTGAGTCAAGATCCACCACATCGTCTGGGAAAGAACTCTTGGACTGCAGTCGCTGAGACTTTGTTCACTTTGTTTTCTTCTTCGGCTGTCAGTGCGTTCGCGGCGTTGGGTCTCTTGCCTTTTCCTTGTTGACGGAGACACTTCACTTTTCCTTCGAGTACCAACTTCGACTGGTGAAACTCTCGGTCTCGTATAATAGAGTACTTGTAGTCATGCTCTTTTAAATAGCGGTCGAGGGCTGCCAGCATGGATTTTAAACTCTCAGGTTCGTACTCACACCCGTCTTTTGTGCGTATTTCTGTGTAGAAGATTTGCAACATTTTATCGAGTTGTTCGTGCTGGTATTCTTCCATTTTTGGGTTAACTTTTCGTTGAGTCGCCCATGTTTGCCAGACATTTAACCAGGTCTGTGTAGCTTTCAACGTGTTTTTGTTTTTCGCATTTTCTTTAAGTTGCTCAACGATGTTTTGGTTTGACAAAGCAAACCGGCTGTCAGCCATTTTTTTATAATTTGGTGTTCAAATTTGGCGCTTCCCCGGTGTTTCCATGGCAACTTCTCCGTATTGCACTCTATAACCTCTATTGCACTCTATAACTTATTTATGCATTCATCATTGACCAATCAGAAACGCGATATTTTGTTGAGTATATAATAAATTTATATATGGATATATATTGAACCAGCGTTGATGTTCAAGGTAACAGAGGACCCCCGCCAACAGTCAGCGACCAGTAAACCACAGCCACCTTCACATCTAATTTAACTTCAATTTGTGAAATATCTTATCTCAGCTCCTCATACTTTTCAATGCACAGATGAAGACACGAAATGGAGTCTTATTTTGAGATAAGTACAAAGTGGTGTAACTTCAAAAGATTTGGAACTCTTTTCTTCTATCTCCAATATCTCTGGATATGGATAAAGCTTTCTCCAATTGTACTTCCGAAGCGTCATAATCTCCAACAATACTAAACGCAGTTCCAAGGTTTGAAAGATTTTCTGCTTCTCCTTCCTCATAGCCAATTTTAGTACTGATGACCAGCCCTTTTTTGGAGATACTCTTTAGCCTTGTCGTATTGGCCGACAGAAACAAAGTACCTAGAATTTGCATAACATGATGCTTCTCCTATTCTGTCACCAATTTCAGTTGTTATGACAAGCGCTTTTTGGAGATGCTCTTCAGCCTTGTTGTATTGGCCGAGCGACCGAAGCAAAGTACCTAGGTTTGCGTTGCTACTTGCCTCTACTTCTCTGTCGCCAATTTCAGTACTGATGACCAGCGCTTTTTGGAGATACTCTTTAGCCTTGTTGTATTGGCCGACCGACAGGAACAAAGTACCGAGGCTTCCATAACATAATGCTCCCCCTTTTCTGTCACCAACTTCAGTTGTTATGACAAGCGCTTTTTGGAAATGCTCATTAGCCTTGTCGTATGGGCCGAACAACTGAAACAAAGTACCTAGGTTTACGTTGTCACTTGCCTCTCCTTCTCTGTCGCCAATTTCAGTTCTGATGACAAGCGCTTTTTGGAGATACTCTTCAGCCTTGTCGTATTGGCCGAGCCAGAGAAACGAGGCACCTAGATTTTCGTAGTCAGCTGCCTCTCCTTTTCTGTCGCCAATTTCAGTTCTGATGAGGAGCGCATTTTGTAGATGCTCTTTAGCCTTGTCGTATTGGCCAAGCGACAGAAGCAAAGTACCTAGGTTTGCCTTTTCAGCTGCCTCTCCCTCTCTGTCGCCTATTTCAATTCTGATGGCGAGCGCTTTTTGAAGATACTCTTTAGCCTTGTCGAATTGGCCGAGCGACAGAAACAAAGTACTAAGGATTCCATGACATAATGCTTCCCCTTTTCTGTCGCCAATTTCGGTTGTTATGGCAAGGGCCCTCTCAACATACTCCTTCGCTTTTAGGTTTTCGCCAAGTTTATAAAGCATTATCCCAGACTTGCTGTATAAGACAAACAGTTTCCTGCCGTATCTTTCCGCACTTACGTAGTCAGAGATATAACGATAAGCGCTGAAAAGAAGTGTATAGATGTCGCTGTAAAATTGTAGCAGTACTAAATCTAATTGGTCTTTGCTGTTTTGATCAGTGTTATTTAGCAAAATCAAACATTCGCTGCATATCTTAATGGCTTTCTGAATGCGATCTGAGTTGAGCAGGAACAGGGCAACAAATAAGGCGATGCTTATGAAAGCTATCATGGCTATTGCTGTTAGGGTTCCATTGCCATCCTTTCCTGTTATCAGGGAAAGATTATTTTAAGTAACACAATACTATATGATTCGATAATCTGGATTAATAACGAGTCACTATAAACAGGAACACACATGTTAAGTTACAAAAACGGGCTGGGTCGATTACACTTGGAAACTTTTTGTAACGAGCTGAAAGTGTTAGAATTCACAGTATCGACTTAAAACAAAAATAAGTGAAAAAGACGGTTTGTCACCTTTCATTTCACTCAAGTTGTGATTTTTGCACAACATGACATGACTTTAAAGTCACAGGACAAAGATAAATGAAGCAGCATTTATCTTAACTTTTGCTATGAGAACTTTCCCCATGCATAGCTTCTGTAAGCAACATTGATCAACGGGGAAAGTTTCTATAGAAACTTTGGTGGGGTATTACAAAATAATTTGGCTTTACCAACTGAGTTGACAATGTAAATTGGCCATAGTAATGAGTTTCTGGAGCTGACGTTTCGATTGTTAATCCTTCATTAGAGCATTTGATAATCTTGGGGAATCAATGATGTTATATCGCCAGTATTCTGTAAAGAAACTAGCAAAGAGTGGTCTGCAGTATCATTTTAATGCTTCGTTTTCTATCTGCACTTCTATTGGCCGTCAGTACGTATTTACAAAAAAACCCTTTTGGAATCAAGCTACATGTACTCAAGTTTTAAGCGTTTAAATTCTTAGGATAACAAGATAGATGACCTTTTACCACAACTGTCTGGACGATTTCCTGACATTCCGCAATATGGCATGGAACATTTGAAAATATTGTTGTATCAAGCTATTACCAAGCAACGAGCTTACTTATCAGTTGAATTTCACTGAAAACGAATCTACGCCTAACTGATGAGAATCACGAACAACATGTGAGGCCACAGGTTTGACGAACCCCGGCCTTGTGACGAATTTACTTTATCCGTTGGCGATTTTTGCACAACATAACATGACTTAATAGTCATAGGAAAGGACATGACTAAGAAAGAAAAGATTATGGACAAGATTATAGGAAATCAGTCCAGTAACGTTCTGGTCCTCACAGGAAATACATTACCTTTCTTCGAAGTACGAAGTACAACTACACCTCTTCTCAGACGCTTCTCGTCAATGATATACAGCCTTCGTTTACCTCCGTTTGAAAAATGACACCAACCAAGTTCACTGTGTTACGAGAAAATTGGATGATTTTTCCGTGTGCTTGTTCAGAGTATATTTATAACTTTTTCAATATTTTTAGCCGTCCTCAATTCATTCGAGTTTCTTTTATTGTAATGTTTTGAGAGAGATAAAAGCCAACAATAAGTTCTTTCAATTACCAACTTGTACATATCGCTTTGTTCTCGCCGCCTTTGTGCGCCTGAACATCGGTCCTTTAATTTGTGATCTTATTCTTAGTGGACATTGTTGGGTAATCAGTTCTCGTAGCGACCTTTTCTGGTAAATTACTTACGTCCGTAAATTGGCTCTACCATAATTTTTCTCCTTGCCTCTTGTTCGAACTTAACACCAACATGGCATGGATAGGCAGAGATTTTAATTGACTTTGACTTTTCACTTTTGCTTGCTAAGATATATATTTTTAACTTTGAAGCTGTGAGTTCAACCTCCCTTCTCTTAGCTAGAATCGATAACTTCAAAGAGACACTTTTCTCTTCTTTTGTGATACTAGTGAAATATTGTAAATTTAGAGAACAATAGAACCACGCGCTCGAAAGTAGTGAAGGAAGTATATTGTAAAGCTTTTATCGATTACGTAGACGACTGCGTGGTGATTACATTGACGAATGTGTGGCGATTACGAAGTTGAGCACACTAGAGGTCATGTCTGTTGTCGACATGGACTGAAGTAAAGTTACTGTGGCACCAAACGCTGTCTAATCCTCGACGTCTGTAGCAAGTTCGCCTGAAGCAGGTCTCTGTTTGCCAGGAAACCATGACGAATTTCCGTTCCCGCTGCAAGTGGTCTCTTCCGAGCTATTTTCCCCCTGTTGTTTTTCGTTCCCCGCAAAAGTCCAGTTAGTGCGAAATAGTCTAATTCACAAAAGTTTCCCTGATGGCCGGCAGTTAACTATGATTTGATATTATGTTGTTAACTTGTGGCTATGCGAAGTGCAAAAATGGGTTTTTGTGGAAGTCTGGTATACAAATGTTCACTCGCTCACTCAAGTGTAGACACTGTTGAGAATAAGTAACTTTGATCTCGTTTTTATGATCGAAACAGAACTTACAGTTTTACTAATCACGTGAGAAAACTCAATCTCAATCTCTGCCCACGAACTCGGTAACGCTTTCGTGAATCGCCATATACATTCCTACCTTCGCTGCCATTTTTCGTTTTTCCGACTGGGCTGTATTTTTAAGCAAAGACGTCAGTCACTACCTCAAGCCCATAAATGACTTATTAATCCTCTTTTCTCTCTCTCAAATCACTTTGGTTGACAGAAAAATATTGGCTTCGAAATGAATTTATGTATGCAAAAGTGTCATTAAATTGGTTGACAAGCGGCCTAAAAACCATCTGTATTTAATTTTAACCCTACACAAAAAGTACCTGGAAAGTTAAAACGTGAGGTATTTGGTTACAATTGAATTAATCGATGAAACTTTGCGTTCATTTAATATCTGAATTTGGGCCTGTCCTGAAGACACTGTTCGCTCGCCTGTCCTGAAGACACTGTTCATCCATAGGAAGAGAACATAAGAAACAAAGCCAACTTTTTGCGGAGTTTTTTCGTCGTTTTGTGAGATCTTCCTACACCCATGCCTTGTCATCTCTGGATAGGAAACAGTTAACACTGCATTATAACAAAGGAAGTAAAACAAAAATGAAGTAATTAATAATATTTGAAATTTTAAATTTTTAAATTAAAATTTAAATTCAATAATTTTTCTATATACCGACGCAAAGGTAGCCGTTAAGTCATAAAGTGGCTGGCAGCCTCAACGTACGTTCTCTTACTTTTGCTGGATGGAATTTGGAAAAGCGATCAAAAAAATTATAAAACGAGTGTGAGATCAACAGAGACATCGTGTGTCGTCATATGTTTTATAAGACTCTGTTTAGAGCAGTTAGAAGCCATTAAGTGCACAGAAGTGAAACTTCATTTCTTTGACTAGGCCTATCGCGCGCTCTAAGCCTAAGAAAGCCAGTATCGATCGATAAAGCGCAATAGTAGCTTTTCGAAACCCTTTATTTGAATGATTAACCTTAATATTGGGTGCGTGGACGAAAAAAAATGAATCCCTCTCCCCAGGGATGTTACTAAAAGCGGTGTTACAGTGTTTTGGGTAACCCCGAGTTTTGGGTATCCCCGAATTCCCTCTAGGGATACCCAGAACACTAAGAGCGAATTAAACAAGAGTATGCATAGGGCAAGTAACATGGCATGCAGACGTCAGAAAATTGTCATCCAAAGAAATTTCTCGCAGTTGAGATTGTGGTTGGTGAAGATAAGTCAGCAGTTCCATGTGGGTTGCTTCACATGAAAACAGTGCAACCGATTGATTTGAGACACGCACGGAAGGAGGATATTTTCTCTTGTTGGGATTCCGTGTTTTAGAAAATGACCGAACCTTGTACTTTTTGACTAGCTCTGCGTCTGTGAGTAATCATAACTGTCTGACTTGTTTACCATACGTACGTGTGGGAAATTTTGCTCTTATACGTCAGAGACCTCAGCACTTGCCTTTTCAACCTAACGACTGCAGAGGAATTGAAAAATTTTATCAAAGAATGATTTTATTTGCACGACCATGGGACGCGCCAAGCAGATAATGAATTTATAAGGCTTCAAAGGGGTAATTTGCATGATTATCGGTGGCAAGTGTACTTCCAAAGTTTTTCCGCAAACACGTGTAATCTCGTCCTTGAAGTGTGAACGAACGGGCATATTTTCGCGCTAAATGGAGGCTATTTTGTTTATTATCCTTCAAATATTTTTGCTAATCACGGGAAAAAAAGTGTACAAACGGTTAACCGTTCACTGCATGGGATGTTCTCTTTTCAGTGTTCTCTGGTACGATTTTATGAACATGAAAACATGTCCCCTCTTTTTTAACTACCACAAATCGCTCTCCTTCCTTAAATTGATCTTAAAGGAAGACTTACCCTTGTGGACGTAGAGCTCGAAATATGTCCTAGATTATGATCTTTCAAATATTCTTGCTGGTCTAAACGTATTAAGTTAACAAATATTCCCCAACTAAAACTGGGGGACCGGTTCCTCAAAAGGTTCAGTAAAGCTAAGCCTCAGTAAAACTTGATGTTATCAAAAGCTCAGATAGCCTAGTTATACCGGGGCCTGCTTAAATCATAATCAAGAGAGCGTTGATAAGTTCATACATCCTATTCTTAAGATACAAGTGTGATTTAGCTACACTTTGATTTGATTTTGCAGGCCATACATACAGGAAGAAGCTTTACAAACCTTTGTAATTGAACACTGGTCTGTTTCAAGGCAAATGATTCTTAAACATCTATCCGCGAGCAGTGAAATAGTAATTTTCTTGGATACTATTGGATCAACAGTACTGTACCGCCTTGTGGACAGAAGGAAGAGGAGTCAAAACATTTAAACCTCGTATCGTCAGTGGAAATGGAAAACGAATTCCCGGATGTGTTGATTTTGATCTCACATTTCATCCATATGTTACATTCCAAGCGTCATTACAAGTTAAGTTTGGAGCTAAGACCC